CACACTCAACCACGTGCCCCCGACGTGATAATTACATTCCGAAGTGTACACTCGGCTCGCATCGGGTGAATGCCACAGTGCAACCTCGCCTTATAACGGTAAACGTTACCGCGGGTGACGTCACGCGCGGCGATGAAGGGTCGACGACCCCACCTGTCTTGGTAGCCACCATAATTTCGGAGATCGTACAGTCAACAGCACCACTTTTTTATATAAAATAGACCATAATACAACTACAATAGATGCCACACTTAATGTGCTGAAGTCTGTACAAGAAAAAAGATTTAATTGCGGGAAAAAATAACGAGTCATCACGATCACGGAATTGGTGTAACAAAAAACTATTTGAACCGTAATAATGGACGTAAATTATGTTACAATCCAACTTATGTTATTTAAGTAGCCTTATTGTTAAGCACGAGAATGTGTAGGTAGGTGCCCAAAAGTCAAGTTAAGGTTCCCTTAATAATTGGAAAAGGCTTCTAGGAGGTTTTATTCGAAGATCTACTTCTTTTTGCAATGTCCAAACCGAGTATGTTAAAATACGTTTTGGAGTAATTAGTCTTTAGAAAAAATACCTACCTATCGGTATTTGTACTCGTACATAATTTTGTTTATTTTTCAAAATCAAATTCCAGTGACATGACCTCAATAGTTAGGTATAACCTTACCTGTCACACCTGTCATGATTTGACGACAAAAAAAAGTGAAATGGAATAAAAAAAGTCACCTTGTTTGCCCCAAAGTAAATATAACCTACATGGTTTTTTTTCGTATGCTGGAAAGATAAAAAAACGAAACAAAGAAAAGTTTAACCTAAAAGAAAAACTGCAACCTACAATAATTTATTTCATATAAAAGTGACATAATATTATTATTTATTGTATTTACTAAAGTTCTGTGTAACCTAGTAGATGTTATAAATAATAACTTACACAACATACGAAACTAACAAAAATTAAAAAATTATAAAACAAAATGATTAAATAACGGTCTTATAACCACGCAAATTGACGTGATTAATACAAATTAAATTAATTAAGTATCTAATCTTGACATTTTTATATCTTGAATCGAGCTAAATACTTTCCAATATTAATTGAAACTATTATGTATAATATTTATGAGTTATTTCCATTTTTATTGCATCGTGTAGGCAAATAATTAATTTCACTGATTGCTAAGTATGATTACCTAATAAAAACAAAATACTAAATTAACAATATCATTATTATCATATCGAATAGTCATATTTCAATACACAAGATTTGATAAGGTTAATTTCATTTATTGTAAAAATTTGGGAAAGTTAAATTGTTGTGGCAACACCAAGCTAAAAAGCTTGGTGTTGCCACAACAATTTAATTTTCCCCATTTCCGAACTGGGTCAAAAACACCCAACCTGTTACCCCAACGATCATAACCGTGTGATAAATTGGCAACATTTGCAACAGAATAAATTAGCAGCATTAATTCAGTGAAACAATTACGCAGTGTTGCCATGCTTGGCTCGAGACAGTTTTTTACGAATGCAGATGTTGCCCGGATTTATTAAGGGTTTTGTGCGGGTAGAAAGATTTTATACTGGATTGTAAATTCTGGTTTCAAATTGTTTAAGATTTTGCGGGTAGAATGAGAAATTGCAAACGATTAAGAGATTTAACGGTAATGTTGTAGGATTGCGTAAGATGCCTAAGTAGAGCATTTTTTTTGTCTAAAATGTGAACCTCCTCCTTTTGTTGAAGTCGGTTAAAAAAGCAAAAAAAGTTACGTGTAGTTTTTAATAAATTGATGTGTTTTTGACTGTACAATATCTGTGGACTAGTTGACAGAAAGCGATTTCTTCCAGAAAAGTAACAGGTATACAGGAAAAAAATAGACCAGCAAATACCTACTATAACAGCCTACTTAGCCAAAAGTTCGAAGGCTAGATATTTATAAAAATCTATTTATACCTATTAATTGAGTACAAGATATGAGAGTTACTTATTTATGCAAAAAATAATTGCATTCACTTTCACAATGACTGAAATTCTTTATTATTGTCATGATACTCGTAAGTCAAATGGGTCATTATTGTGAACAATGTCATTTTTTGTTCAGAATTATGAATAGGTACGTATACTTTTGCATCTATACAAAAATATTGTGTACCTAAGTATTGCATTGTGGAAAACCTTGGAGGAGGCCTTTGTCCAGCAGTGGACGTCATTTGGCTGAGACGAACGAACGAACGAACGAACCTAAGTATGTACTTACTATCTATGTGCTATCTAGGTGATCGGAAAATTCTTCTCACTTTTTCTTTTCTATGTTACTACCGTTTGTAAGACTGACTGTTTTGGCTCTTAAATATTTCTCCTTATTGTATGGACTGTATTAGTGTCTAAAATAAATTTATTGATTTGATTTGATTTTCTATACTTGCTAATAATATAGGTAAATCTGAAGAGTGTCTTTTGTTGAACTCACTAGTCTCAGGAACTACTGGTCTGATTTGGAAATTAACTTGTGTTGGATAGTCCCTTTGTCGAGGAAAACTATATTAAAAAATCACGCTACGACCAAAAGGAGCCGAGCAACAAAGAAAAATGTTGCTGAAACGTGGAAAAATTTAATAAATTTTCACGTGTACGAAGTCACGAAGATGGGGCAGCAAGGTTCTGGAGTGGAGGCCACGTACCGAAAACGCAGCGTGAGACGTCCACAAGGTGGACCGACAACCTCATTAACGTACCTACTTAGCAGGAAGGCGCTGGATGCAGGCCGCTGCCAACCGGGCGATATGGAAATCATTGGGGGAGGCCTATTATAGGTCTATGTTCAGTTCAGTGGGCGTCCTGTGGCTGAAATGATGATGATGAAGTCTATAAATAAACTAAGTAAAGCTAGTCATCTATAAGCTGGTACGCTAATCAAGATATTTATTGTCCGCGGTACATAATCTTTTCTCAAAGGTTTCAAACCTTTGTTTGTCACCTGTCATCCGCTTTGCAATGGAGGGAAGTCGAACCTTAATTGCGAACTCCTCCTATGTTCTTCTGATTAATTTCGTCGTGGGTCCAATGATAGTTTAACTTTCCGCCGGGACAAACTTGACCTTCATTGGTTGGGTTTTTATGGCGGTCAAGCTGTAGATCCTGGCTACACAGGAGTTGCAGTAGTGGGAACGAGAGGTGGGAATAGTCCCGTTAATCAAGTTTTTCATATGGTTTATCATTGTTTTTCATAATCGATCACATAAATCTGAATCGATTACTCATATCTCCAGACGTGGAGATATCGATTTGTTAATTCGCTCACGAAAGAGATAATTACTATCATGCAAGCTTATCGTGGCGTTGATAAAGAACATTTACAAAAAAACAAACATTATTTTGCTGATGAAAAGAATAATTAATTGTGCGAGACAATTTTAATAACTGTTTAGAAATTATGTTTTTTTTTTGTTTTAAAAAAACTTTCAGTAGATTTAATGATAGTTTAATAATAATTGTAAAATGTCTAATATATTTTATTTCATCTGTGATGAAATTAACAAGATAAATATTATTATCAGGAAAGAAAATCATAAAAAATGGTTTACTTTTAGAAGCACATTTCGTCGCTATACCAATTTGAGAAAATAAGCTTTAATATTGTGAAATTTTGATCTTAATAATTACTGAAGTTATTGCATTTATACTTCTTTTATTGTTTGTGGTATTATTAGTTTACAATTAAAGTAGAATTAAGTAAGTAATGTCTATGTGAGTAAGTTCCAATCATACCTTTTATGGATATCAATGCTTTTATAGTCATTTAAACTTCTTCATCCTACTTAATCGAGTAGAAAATAGCAAGTAATCATTTTAATCGAGCTAATTCTAGCAGATAAAGTGCATTAGAACAGGTTATCCTATAAAACCATTAAAGAGCTTTTATTAAGCTTATTTATACTTTTATCAAAGTTAATAATTACGTTGGGATTGCTATCATGTTCTTGTTAGATTACTTAAATAGTATTAGCAAATTGCGATGTTCCGTTTCAGCAAAATGACGTCCACTGCTGGACAAAGGGGAGGCCCAAGGATTGTCATTACATCAACCAGTTCTGTAAATTGTGAGGTAGTGTTTTTCCAGTTTGGTATTTTTACCAAATAGCATAATAGTTTATCGCAATTTTTTTCGAGCAAACTGAAAGTAGGTGCATTTAAGTAGGTACATATTAGATGAACGAAAGAAGTTGCTTAGTAACGGTTTTAAAGTAACAAAGTCAGCTAAATTGCATTTATTGTTATGTAGGTTAATCAATCATCAAATTAGAATTATTGATGTGACAGCATATTTTGCTGTCTACTGACCTGGTTTGAAATGTAGTTTGTTAGAATATGAGTAAACTACATTTCGATGATGAAATTGTATGAGATGGCACGTAAATCCTTTTTAGCAACAAAAGTGTAATAGGGAATTTTAAACTTGTGGCCTAAGTATTAAGATTGAGTTTAGTTATAATAACATTGCCCAACGTTGGGAAGTGGGTTAGCTATATCTGTCGTATTTTAGTCATTGTCTTTCGTCATTATTTATTTTGTTAAATTTATTTCTTCTTATTCCACTTCGTTGTGATAGTTTTGTTAAACGCAATAACTATCGGAATTTATTTAAATTCCCCGCATGATGTGAATAACTAAGTATACTTAGGTATGCTGATAAAAAAGTAGGTATGTAGATAGATACTAAGTTTGTAATAATTTTCCATGAAATCGCATTAATAGTCTGCTATTAAAGTAAGAATTTATGGTTAAATTAACTGTTTCTTTAACGTCATCATGAATTTATTTATGCAGGTAGTATAATTATCACAGAGTTTTCCTGTTAACTTAATTACTAACGTATGACTATTATTTATAAATAATGAAACCACAATAATTCACAAGAAAAAAATACGAAAAATAATTTTAAAATAGTTTGTACGCTAAAATTACCTAAAAAATAATTTCAAAATATTTTCAACTTACCCTCAAACCGGTAAAATTGAATAAAATCCAATATCCAAGTCACTACAGGCACTTCATTTAAATAATGCTATTCAACAATGTCCACTGTCACCAACTTTTTGCAACGCGACGATCTCTAGAAAACTGTCGTGTGTCTATTCACGCACCGGTGAACGCAAAGATACTATAAAGAACACGTATACATGGCTGAATATAATTCCAGTGTTGCTATTAACAAATAAAAAAATACAACTGTCAAAACCGCAACCACAGATTTTAAATTCCAAATTCAAAAACAGAGCGCGTGAGCAACGTCGTTTACGCGCGATCTTCTTTTTTCATCTAAACCAAACTCGCGCGTCGTCTCTTTCTGTTGTATAGCACCGTCTCGTTTACAAGTAGAAAACCAAGTGCATCCGTCCTTGACTCTGAACAGTTCAGAAGAACCGTTGCTTTCTTGTCTTCTTCTTGCTGGTTAAGTTTGCTCAAGTTAGAAAGGGACAAGTGTACGATGACCGGTTAGTGTGAAATCTGACTGTCAATGACCGACCGAAGGATCAAAATAAGAAAACATTACGGTACTGTTATGTTTTTACGGTTATATTTTAGGTCCTTTGACCTCGTAACTTTTAGTTTTTACGATTGCTAAGGGAATGTGGTGTAGTCCTAAAATAGAAGTTAACATTGTTAAGAATTCTAAATAAACTATTTGTTAGTTACAAAACAATATTATTTTAAAGTAAATAAAAGAAATAAAGTTACTTATGTTAAAAAAATAAGTTTTGATTTTTGATCTTATCACTTTTTTCTTGTCTTGTGTGGTGTAAAATAAAGGGTGTTCTATCTATCTGCCTACTTAGGCACTAAAGCATGACGTATAACATAGGAAAAACGAAATAAAAAAGAAAATTTGGATAAGGAAACAAAATATTACGGATTGTATCATCAAAATATCGTCGTTCTTCGTCGACCGTCCTCATACAGGCCATTAAAATATTTTTAAGGCAATTTTTAAATTTTTTCTAATCATTAGAAACCAGGATGGACCTAAACCTAACTAAGTAATATACATATTTTCAAAATATCCATTGTTAATTATTTCAGCTGTTCTTTAATTCTATGCTTAATAACACATTAATATCCAATCCATTTTTATATGCAAAATATCTCCAATAAAAATTAAAACGAATTTTTGAACGATATGGATACTACATACGAATTATTTCAAGGGCTGCCATTTTTATACACACCCTATAATATACGAGCTGTAATTCCGATTTTTCAGGAGCCCACAAAAACGTGTTTTCCAAAATCGGAGGCCGAACGGGTCGGCGGACATGATCGAATTAACCTTAGGACTGGTAACTTCTGGTAAGTGATGAAAATGGAGGTAGAAATCTTGATTTTCACGTAACATTGTTAGAAACGTGGGGAAAACACGTGGGTGGAAGAATATGTGATTTACTAACTGCCCTATCTATTTATTGGGTTTTGCCCGTGGCGGGTTTGCTCGCGTTAAGCTTTGGATTCCCTTATCCTCCGAATTTTGAAAAATCCTTTTGCCTAACAACTACCTCCGACTTGACAGCTGTAAGTTGTAGCAAGTAGTAAATTCCAGTGTAGGAATAGCGTTTAACTTAGTGCCTAAGGTATAGGACGTCACGGGAGGGGTGACATTGAAATAATAATAATTTCACTATTGTCGATTATTTTGCGCTTAAAACGGCCTCTACGTGTTGGATCTGTATCCCCACGCAAGCCTTATAAAGGACCGGGTCACTTTTGACCCGTGAGCTCCAAAGCGTACAAACATAATAATAATAAATAAATATCCATGGACATTTTACACTGCGATTCTAGTCCCAAACTAAACAAAGCTTGTACTATGGGTACTAGACAACGGATATAAACATACTTAAATACTTTTTTTTTGTAAATACATACTATTCTATTATTATACATAGAAAACACCCAGTCCAATGCAAACAAATATGTTCATGCACACAAATGTTTGTACTGTGCGGGAATCGAACCCGCAACCTCCGGAATAGTAGTCCGTTTTGAACCACTACACCAAACGGCCGACAAATTGAAATAATATTACTTATGACGTGACAGAGTATACAAATCTGAAGCAGCCCCCCTACACAAAACGCACTTTTTGATCGAATCGAAAATCGAATCTGTCAAATCTCCATACAAAAAAGGGGCTTTTCGACAACTTTTCGACTGGTTTGCGATTATAATTTGCACTTTGTCTAGATCCACAGATCTGAAGACTCGCTGACGTTTAACGTCAAAGTCTTACCTCAGGCAATGACCGAGTTAACCGAGACCTATAGTACGTGAATCAGGTCCCAAGTAAGAGTTTACTCGAATGTTATTTTAGCAATTGTATTTTTATTAGAACTTTCCGTTCTGTGATCCTGAAAGAAAATGTATTCCAATATTGTCTTTTCTTTCTGTGTTCTTTCTAGAAAAAACATTACCCAACATTTCATTATGGATACAGCGAACTTTTATTTACATTATAAACATAATTATTTGTAGACTTCAGCCACAAAATACAGAGAAGTTTGTGCTTAGTACGTGTAAATAGCCAAAAACAATGTTTTTTTTCTTCCTAGAAACGATTGATGAGACTCAGGATTCTATCATTAAAATAACAAGGTTCTTTTGTTTTGCCTAAAAAGGAAAAAAACGTAAAACAAACGACAATCAGTATCGATGACAAATTCCCGAAAAGTGTAATAAAAATAAAACTAATTTTGCCATAGTAGTTTTATTAGAATCACTTCAGCTCAACCTTTGATGTTAATTTTAGCAAATGTTTTTATCAGTGATTTTGCTTTTAATATTTTTATTGGCTTGAATGAAAGCGTTATTGTTAAGTTATAGTTTTATTAAGTAGGTACAGTTTTCATCACATCAGACTGCTATACAAAATAGCACTTATTAAAATTGCAATAATATTCCTTATAAAATAGTTATCTTTTTGGGCAGTTTCCCCACCCCAGAGTTTGGCGTCGTCCAAATTACAAAGTTTTTTTAATATCTAGTTTCTTAAGAGCTCTACTTGTGCCTAATAACAAAGACAGGTACATAGATAGATATCTTCGTAAGCAGGTCGGTATCAATGTTATACCATCATTTCAACCGGATTCCTTCCATTGTTGAACAAAAACCTCTACCACGGATTTCCACTACGGTTCTACGTTACCAACTCCGGATGCCTCCCGCAAAAATAAAGATTACTAATAAATTCCATGTTATATGTTACAAAAATTGTTAGGCTGGTTACAGCACCTAACTTTGACCGTTACTACGGTGTTTTTTTGTATGAAGTTTGACAGATTTTTGACGTTTGTCAAAGTTAAAGTAAGATGGTGAAACCCAATCTTAGTTTCTGTTAACGTGGGCTATTAAGAGACATGTCAAACGTTCCGAGTTCAGTACGTCCTTAATTTGTTCAACAAAATAATAAGTTACGTTTATTATTCTTTGTTGAATTAAAATTACACTGGATCATCTAATAAACTATAGTTACATGTTTTGTTTGTTCATACGGAAACGTGTAGCACCTGCATGCATGGTTTTGACAGGCTGTCTGCAGGCCACGTTCTATCCGCTCTGTGGTTGGTCTATGGTAGCAATACAAATCTATAGAGCGGCCATATTTATCGGAGGACCGACGAGAGACGGTTCCGAATTAAATATGTCACATACTGGGTGGAAACGATAAGAGATCTTACTCGATTATTTCTAATCATCATCATCATCATCATCATCTCAGCCACAGGACGTCCACTGCTGAACATAGGCCTCCCCCATGAAGCTAAAGATAAAAATGGAGGGCAAAGTTGGAACAAAAACTTGAGTCAAATACCTACTTATATCTATTTAAGCAGTTAATTTCGTTTGAGATTGTTTACAGGAAATAATCATTGTTTTATCACAAGAATTGGTGCAAAATTTTGTAGTGCGTGGTTGCGGTAGTACGTGGTATCCTGGAAGTGACATAAGATTCCACGCGTAAGTGTTTATTTCGTGATTTCCGACATTGGATCATTGTAAACATTTTTCACATTTTTAACAGTAATTTCTTCCTAAAACGTTTTACCAGTAATTACACTTATCATTTTTAATGATACCTATGTCAAGAAATAAAGATTTTACATTGGTTTCATTGAATTTGAGCAATTTTATATTTTTTGTTTATTTAGAAAGAGCGAGTCTGCCCACAGAGAGTGAGATAGTGATACTTAGTTTGTGCTTCAAGTAGGTATTCGGAGTGTGGCCTCAATTTTTATCTGTAGCTTCATGGCCTCCCCCAATGCCGTCCCATGTCACTCGGTTGGTAGCGGCCTGCGTCTAGCGCTTTCCTGCTACCTTTATGATGGCGTCGGCCCACCTTGTGGGTGGACGTCTTATTATTTCTAAACTATACAAGATATCAAAAAACTAGTTACTGATCCTTAAAGTGCTTCATGAGATCTATCAAACGGTATCAATAATAGGTTACAGAATAAACTGGATTTATCTGAAAATTAAATGTTTAGAAATATCTTGTGTAGTCTAGAAATAATCGAGTGAGATCACTTATCGTTTCCACCTACCTAGGCACTATGTCTTGGAAAATTGGACCGCTAGATGAGCTGACGATCTCAGGAAAATGGCTGTTGGATGAATAAAAGTGCTTGTTCATTTATTTGCTAATTTTAATAGTTGAATGATGAGCATGGCGATGATAGAGTTTTAACTTTCTCACCATTGATTTTTTTTAGGTAAGTAGTTACATGATACTGATTTTTCCATAAGACGTATGCTTACGAAATTACACCAATCAAACCACATGTTTATTTTGTTAAATAACATCTCAAAAGTAATTAAATTTTACCCCAGTTTAATTAGAACTAAATTGCTTAATTAATTAAGGGAAGCTCTAACCATTCCTAGCTCATTAGGGTTGCGTAACCGTTAATATTATTGTCGTATCAATAGCCCAGCTTAATGAATGAAGCCCACTACATTGACTACTTAATGGGACTCCTACGCCAATTCTTTCTATACTAAGATCTGCCTGTGATTTTGTCTGTGTGCGGTCTGTGTAACATTTATGTATCTAATGAATAAATGTGAGTTGGAAATTCCTTACTATCCTTGACAATTGGCGGTTTTCCATACACACTTTTCAGCATTGTCATCAGAAGCACAGGATTTCGCTTACACTCACCACCGCGCTGACCTGGCTGGGTAGGGGACAAACTTTTACCCCTTTTAAATTCTAGTTAATATCATCATCATCATCATCATCTCAGCTATAGGACGTCCACTGCTAAACATAGGCCTCT